TACCCTTGTACTTTAGGTGATCTGCAAGGTCAGCATCTCAGAGGGCATCGAGAGCCTGAGCCCCAAGGTCTCCCAGGATGTGTACTACCCGGGCAAGTCCTGCTGGGTGCATGAACCCGTTTTTGTCCCACGCCCGAATGCAAAGGTACAGTGGTGCCTGACAAGGTACTGTGCTGGAAGCAGTGTCTCCTGCTGGGCAGGCACGCGAATGCAAACCGCGGTCTTCACCATCGACATGCTCTCTGCCTGGCCAGCCATTCAAGAGTTAAAACATCTGAGGCTGTGTGCGCGCTGGATTATGCTTCCATTGTCCATCAAACTATGTTTCCGTACATCCCAACCCAACCAAATCTCAGGCTGAGGATGACGGCTGGGTCCTGGCAATGGTGAACGACTCAACCACCGGCCAGGCCTTCATGGCGATCCTGGAGGCTCAGGATCTGGCCGCAGGGCCCATTGCCAAGATTCACCTGAAGCATCATTACCCTCAAGGTGTGTGTGTCTCGAGGACAGGGGGTGACCTAATGCTGGCGTGTGCCTTCCAGACCGTGGTCCCTGACGTTCCAACACGGTGGTAAGGCCGTCATATCTTGCCTCACCTCACCCTTCACATGAGACCCGCGCCCTTTCCCGACCACCTCCCCGACAGCTTTGCATGGCAGCTGGTCCCCAGACTTTATTGGACCTGACCCAAAGCAGCCTTACGAGCCTCGCCTGCACGATACCCGTGGCGTAGATCCCCTCGTGTACGCTTAGGCGCTAGAGAACACAACACACTCACTCACTCATATGTATACTACATGCATACACGGGAGTAGAATATGTTCTTGCAGATGATGCCATTCTTGTATGGAGCCTACTATGGCGATGGGTGGCGCTTAGTATACGCAGGAAAAAGTTCAGACCCCAATAGTGTAAGCATGGGTCACTGGACTACGTGATGTCCACCTTCCCTCGATCTTGGGTTCCAGTGGGCTCAGGTGCCCACAGCTAAGTTCTCAGTAACCCCAGTGCCTTCGCATCACGTCAAAAACCTCCTCACTCACTCCCGCCTCCTCTCTTGCCTGGCTGCACGACCCGAGAGGTTCAAGTCTGAGCATTATAGAGGCGAAGTGGCCACTCAAGCACACGATATTATCAAGCCTGCTTCTTAAATGTCAGAAGCACAGGTGTGCTGGAGCAAAAATTGAGGCCAGTTCGTCTCCAAGCCGCGGCGCCACTCATGCATCCTTGAGCTGCGCCAGGATCTGGTTGGAGAGGGAGCAGGTCAGGCCGCCGCCGTCCTCCAGGTTGAAGGTTTTGAAGGTGCCGTCCTGAACGACGGCCGAGAAGCGCGCGCTGCGGACGTTGCCTAGGAATGGCGTGGCGTCGAATTCCACGCCCAGAGCCTTCACCGCCTCGCCCGCAGGGTCGGCGTAGACGTCCACCTTGCCCTGCGCGCCGGCCGAGGTGGCCCAGGCATCGGCGACAAAGGGGTCGTTCACGGTGAGCAGGACGGTGATCTCATTGCCGGCCGCCTTCAGCTTCTCGTAGTCGTTGATGTAGCCGGGCAGGTGCGTCTTGGAGCAGCCGGGGGTGAATGCGCCTGTGCAGGGGTGGATTGGACGGCCGGGTGGGATGAGGGGGTGATGAGGGTGGCGACGAGGCAACGATCGAGAAGAAGGCGTTGGGCAGGACAACGAGGTCACCTGCGGACCGACTCTGGTGCAGCCCACGCATATGAGAGCACAAGTTTCATTGACACCACCATCACCCGCTCCCGTCCACTCGCTCACCGGGCACGCCCACGAGGATGCCCTTCTTGCCCTTGAAGAGGTCGCGCAGGGACACCTTCTCAGGCTTCTCGTTCACGAGATGAACGAGCTGGACATCGGGGACCGCGTCGCCAGCCTGATGAGGGGGAGATGTGGGGTACAAGTCAGGAAGCCTTCTCGATCACTCTGCTGGGTAGTTGATCCACAGCTGCAGATTGAACCTCTCTCGAGCAAACCCAAGAAGCACTCCGGCTGATCGTGCATAGCTAGGCATTCACGCTGCGATTGGCCCAGGCGGGGCCTAGCAGTGGACCAGGCCGGTCCCGGCCGCAAGTCACTCGACCCTCGTCAATCACCTTGGGAGCCATGTTGCCTTGTGGTGGATTTTAGTTATAGTTCTGTATGATCTATATTTCCAAGTGAGAATTTATGCATCTCTCGATCAGCGTGTGTGTGTGTTTCTATGGGCTGAAGGCTCACGTACTCCCTTTCGGACGGAAGCATCTCATGCTGACCTGGCGCCGCGCCTCGATCTTCGACAGATGTTGACAGGCACATGCAGGCAGGCATCAGACAGAAGGGCAGGCTTTCATGCAGGGCGATGAGGGGCCAAGGGTGCGTAGATCTGGCTCGGGGCAGACACGGTGCAAGGGTGTGTGGAAGATTCGGTGGGCGTACCCTGGCGCAGGGGCACAGGTCGATGCCTGGGCACAAGAAACTTCTGGAAGGGACGCGCCCTGTCGAGGTGCGGCGGGCACCCAGGGCACGGCGTCCGAGGTGCTGACACCCATCCTAGTGGCAGCCGGTGCAGGCGTGGCGCGGGCCATGGGCCTGGGCCTGGGGCTGGGCTGCGGCCTTCGCCCCCTGCTGCTTCCCCTCCGCGCCCTCCACCTCGGCGCGCAGGATGGCGGCCGCCTGCACCATGTTGCGCAGGCTGGGCAGGACCTCGGCCCAGCGCCGCGTCTTGAGGCCGCAGTCGGGGTTGACCCAGATGCGGCGCGCGTCGCCACCCAGGATGCCCGTGCTGGAGAAGGAGCGCAGCTTGTCCACCAGGAACTCGACGCTGGGGACGACGGGGGAGTGCACGTCGTAGACCCCGGGTCCGATGTCGCGAGCGTACCCCGCGCTGGCCAGGGCCAGCACCATTTCGTTGTCCGACCGCGAGTTCTCGATGGTCAGCACGTCGGCGTCCATGGCATCGATGGCGGGCAGGATGTCCTCGAACGAGGAGTAGCACAGGTGGGTCACCACCTTGGATTGATTTGGAAGGGGGGGGGGGGGGGGGGGAGGGG